CAGTTTGGCAGAGCCGCTTGTCCGTGACCATCCACGCGGCGGGATCCGGGACGGAGCCAACTCCGAGCTGCCTGGGACTGGAGGAAGCACATCACTGGCACTTGGACCACAGTAGAGTATTCAATTGAATAAAAATGTTGGAGTATTAAAGCTTCTAGAGAAATAATTCCCAAAATGCACTCTGGGAGACATGGGAATGGCAGTCCCAGGGCTCTAATACCAAATCATAACCGCTTTCCAAGTTACAGGCAGGAAAACCAAGGACTAGTTAATGAAGTGGTTTGCAGCTTCATTTAGGGCAATTAGCCATGTTTATATTATATTTGAATATCTATTTTACCTTGCAACTATGATATATAAATATGACATATTTGCAATGTGTCACAAAGGACTATCAGGGAATCCCAGAGAGGTTTGGGTTGGAAGGGACCTTCAAACCCACCTCATTCCACCCCTGTCATGGGCAGGGACACCTCCCACTATCCCAGATTGCTCCAAGCCCTGTCCAACCTGGCCTGGAACACTTATTTTCTATACATAAAGCAGCAAAATATATATATATATCTAAAAATATCAAAGCTCCCTCGTGCCCTGGACACACAACACACGAGACGAATCCGTTTGACGCAGTTTGGATTTGACATTATCCACACACAAAGAAAAACCTCCAGGATTTTGGTAACCAAATCCAACTGCATTTTTTGCTTCCTGCCGCTCAAACTGCTTAGATTCACACGTGGAGCATCCTCCATGGATTAGCACATTAAATCCCAGACAGCAAAGGAACACCGAGTACACGGGATTTAGAAAATGCCGGAGTCGAAAATGCCAACGAGACCTTAATTCCAACCCCTCCTGCGGATTTGGAACTGCAAAACTTTGAAATCACTGATTATCATATCTGGGGCTCCCAAATTCAGAGGGATGTGGAGCTGCTGGAGTGAATCCGGAGGCCATGGAGATGCTCCAAGGGCTGGAGCCCCTCTGCTCTGGAGCCAGGCTGGGAGAGCTGGGGGGGTTCACCTGGAGAAGGGAAGGTTCCAGGGAGACCTGAGAGCCCCTCCCAGGGCCTAAAGGGGCTCCAGGAGAGCTGGAGAGGGACTGGGAACAAGGGATGGAGGGACAGGACAAGGGGGAATGGCTTCCCACTGCCAGAGGGCAGGGTTAGATGGGATATTGGGAAGGAATTGTTGGCTGTGAGGGTGGGGAGGCCCTGGCACAGGTTACCCAGAGAAGCTGTGGCTGCCCCTGGATCCCTGGAAGTGTCCAAGGCCAGGTTGGAGCAACCTGGGCTAGTGGGAGGTGTCCCTGCCCATGGCAGGGGGTGGAATGAGATGGGCTTTAAGGTCCCTTCCAACCCAACCCATTCTGCAATTCCATGACACGCTATTGAAAAAATAAGGATGAAAACTGTTCCCAGATGGAATAACTGATGGATTTGGGTCCTTCATCCCTTGCACAACACAAGCACCATTAACCCTTTGTTCCCCACCTCCCCCAAACAGCCCCCCCTTCCCACTGTATGTGAAGGGGAGGCAGCACTGACCACAAACTCCTGCATTTATTTTGCCTCCACATCCTCCAATTTCTACCTTTTTTCTTGTCCTGCTACATAATTTGGATGAATATCGGAGGAACTTCCCAGCAAATGATTTGAGAGGACTGTCCTACACCCATCTCCTTAAGACACTGAGCTACCAAAACCCATGTAAACCAAAAATGAAGTCTAAACAAGGCACTAAAATATCAATACAATTTTAAAAATGCAATGGAGAGAGACGGAAGGGTTTAATTTGGTTGCTGGGAAAAGCCACACAGGGGTATAATAGTGATTCCCAAATCCTGGGACTGGGGCAGAGGTGCAGTCTATTGAAAGGAGGGTGGAGCCAGGTGGGGGTCAATCCCTTCTCCCAAGTAACAGGACACGAAGAAACGGCCTCAAGTTGTACCAGGGAAGGTTTAGGTTGGATATTAGGGAAAATTGCCTCATGGAAAGGGCTGTAAAGCCTTGGAAGGGGCTGCCCAGGGATATGGTGGAGTCCTCATCCCTGGGGGTGTTCCAAAGCACGTGGGCCAGTGCTGGGCTTGGCACTGCTGGGCAAGAGCTGGACTGGATGATCTTGGAGCTCTTTTCCAACCTAAACAGTCCTTCAATCATTAAAAGCTGTAACAGAATTCCCAAATCCTGGAGCTAAAGGTGCAACTAAAGCTGCTTTGAGATGATGTAACCACAAAGATCTACGGCTGGAGAAACCTGAGCAAGGGGCTGGGAACAGGGGCAGTGGTGGCCCTGGAAAGCCAGTTTCTGGAAGATTCCTTGGCACACCCTCAGCACGTCAGGAGATGGGGGGGAATGTGCTAAAACTCAACCCAAGACACTTGTTTCTACTCTCATATCTATAAATCCAAGGAAATTTCCTTGTTGGGAGTGATCTCCACAGTTCGGAAGCCACAGCAGGAGCAGGGGAAATTCCCCCAGGTTCTGTGAATGCCCGAGTCATCCAAGGGACTTGTTGCATTCCCATCAATTGTAGAAATGAAATTATCTTATCAAACACTGACCTTTTTCCCTCCCTGCTGCCTTTTTAATGCCATTCCCAAGTGTGATTTGGATAACAGGCGATTCAACCCCCTTTTTTTCCTTCCCTGCTGTAGGATTTTACTCAACATTTTTTAGAATGCTTTGAGAAGCTTAGGGCAGAAGTGCTGCTTTACCCACAGCACTGCATCAAAAGGAAAACCGCAGGAAATCTTGACAGTGAGCTTTTTGTTTCCTCCCCCCCACCTAAAACTGCGCCAAATCAATCACTTTTATGCAAATCCTTGTTGCAGCGACAGAGAAGATAAAATCAAGTTATTAGAGAAGATAAAATCAAGTTATTAGAGAAGATAAAATAAAGTTACTGCTGTTTGGTTCCAATGTTGGATACAAATCATGTTAAATACAAAGTGATTGTAGTAGTACTATATTTATCTAATTATATGCAGTATACAGATGAATATCTATGCATAATATATAGATATATACAGTATATAAAGATAGATTATATATAGTATATGTAGTAGTATTATAGTGTATTTATATATGATATATAGATCTCTATATAATAAAGCTGTATAGTATATAGACATGCAGAGGATATATAGTATATAATTATTATTTGATAGTATATAATTAGTATATCTTAGTCTATATTTGGTGTATTACAGCATATAATACACTATATATAGTATATATATTATATATTATAGTATATAATATATAGTATATAGTATATATATACAATATATATTAGAATATATATACACTATATATAACACACTATATATTATAGTACATAATACACTAAATATAGACTATAATACACTAAATATAACTATATTTAGTGTATTTTAAATATAACTATATTTAGTGTGTATATATATTTTTAGTGTATTATAGTATATATTTAGGGTATTATAATATCTATTCAGTGTATTATACTATATAATACACTATATATAGTACACTATATATAATACATTATAATACACTATATATTATAGTACATAATACACTAAATATAGATTATAATATACTAAATATATACTATATTTGGTGTTTATATACACTATATTTAGGGTATTATAGTATATATTTAGTGTACCATAGCAGATATTTAGTGTATTGTGGTATCTTTACCTATATATCTATATATTGCACACATTTCTGTGTTATAGAACATCTAAATGTAAATATACAGATCAGAGAGTGATTTTCTCTTATGTAAAACAGGGTCCCTTAAATCAAAGACCAACTCAGAGAGGACAAAAAGGTTGATTCCAAGTAGGAAACTGGGAGCTGTATCCCAGGCCAGACTGGGATAACCAGCCTTCTTTTCCACACCATCCACCCTCAGGGTCCAGAGTTATCCCCACTTTTGTGCCTCATTTCTACATGGACATTTATGAAGACATTTTTTTTCCCTCTCTTCCATAAAACTTTAAATGTCCCTGCAGAAGTTTTATTGACTCGATTCCCTTCCTTAACTCTCGATAAGGAGCTTAATGCTGGTTATGTGATCCAAGGAAACAAGGCTGTGTTTGTGGCTGGGAACGGGGTTTGGAGATAGGCAAATTGAATTCCTGGCAGATCCACTCCATACTCCTTTCTCCAGCAGGAAAGGGAATAAAGCTTATCTAGGAACACGCAATTATTCCCTGTGACCAGCAGCTGCTTTGCTGGAGCCACAGGATTGATCTGAACGCTAAAGGAAAAGGCAGAGAGGGAACAACACTCGGAAAAAAGGAATTCAAATCAACTCCCCCGTCGGCAGCAAAGTGCCTGCAGTGCCACTCCAGGACTGTGCTGTCCTTTTGCCTTCATAGGACAACTTGGGGTTTTTGGTTTGTTTGCAGGGGGTTGTTTGGGCAGAGTGAAAGGGGTTTCTTGTGGCTTTTAGGTTTTTTTTTTTACTTGGTGTTTTGGGTGCTCTTTTTGTTGTTGTTTTGTAGGTGGTTTCTTCAGGTTTGTTTTATGTCAAGACTTTATAAAAGCCTGACATTAATGAGACCCCAGGTGGGCAAAGCCCAGCTCCATCCAGACCACCCCTCTCTCTGCTGTAACTCTTCCCAAAGCACCTTTTCCATGACACCTCCTTTAAACTGCCCTCTAACATCAGTGTCCCATCAAATTTGGAAGGAGATGCTCTTTACACATTCCCCTCTTGTCCCCACCACTGAACCACAGGCTGGAGAAGGTGGTTCCCCTTTTGGGCACCACAGGAAGTGATTCTTTCACTCCCCAACTTGATCAAAGTTCAATACAAAAAAAAAAATACAAACCCTTTTCCAAACTGGATTGATTTTTCAAACAGTTCTTCTCATGATCTCAATGTGCTTGGAAAAGTCAACCACAACTGGGAGCACAACTGGGAAGCTGTTCTTGGGGAACAACAGAGCCTGGATATTGCCACTGGAAGGTTCTGGACTCTCAAAGTCCCAATATTAAAAGCACTTACCTCTTCAAGGACATCTGCAAGCTTACTGAGTATTTCCTCAGGAAGGCTCTGGAATGTGGGAACGCTGCAACAGAAGAGAAACCTCGGTTAATGGATCCCTTTAGACAGGACAGAATTCCAGCTGCACCTCTCCTCTCTCTTCCAGGGATATTTTGCTCTCATCCTCTGGGGCTGAACAAGAAAAGCAGCAAACAATGGAAATCTGATCCCTTTCCAGCAAGATGTATTTTGGGATAACAGGAGACCACTTGCAGTGAAACCTCTGGAGAATCATCTGTAAAGCTGGGACCAACCAAGAATCCATCCAGGATCGTCCGGAATCCATCTGCACCACAGGCCTGCTCAGTCACACCTATGGCTGGGCACATTTTTCCTGGTCTGCTTCCAGCCCACCAGCAATGAAATCCAACATTAAAAGAGGGCAGAGAAGGTCAGCTCCGACCAGCACCGGGGAAAAGCTGGAAACCACACACGGACACAGGAAACACAGAGCTGCCAAGGACATGGGGCACCAACAGACCCCCACCCAACCACTCCAGGAGCTACTGATGACTTCACTGGGGGGTTTATACCTGACTTTGTTGGTTTTCTTTTGCCAAAAAGGTACCTTTTCCCCTTGTTTGGCAGCAATGCCCTCAGAAAAGGGCCAGGCTGGGCCTGCTGGCTGGAACAAGAGGGTGATGCAGCAACAAGGAGCCCACTGACCCAGGGCCACCAGACCAAGGTGGAATTCAGTCTGGAGCAGGAGGAGGGATCTCCAAACCTCCAGCAAGGACCCTGACCTTAAAGCTGTATCTCCACTGCCTTACAGCCCACCCAGCAAGGCTGGGCATTGTCCTCCTTGGAGATATTCAGAAGCCAGGCGGACACAATCCTGAGCAACCAGCAACCTGAACGGGGGGCTGAGCCAGGTGACTTCCAGATGGCCTTTCCCAACCTCCCCCAGCCTGGGATTCTGCAACAGCCCTGGTTTCTATCTCCCTGCTTTCCCTAAAAACCTGCTGTTCATCAATATTCCCAAGTGGTGCTGAGCGAGACCCAGACACGATGTTCATTCCAGAGGCAGGAAAGCAGCACTGCACCTGCTTTAATTGAAACCACTTGTCCTCCACAGACTAATTAACGACACACCCACATGAAAGAGTAGAGGGTAGAGCTCTGCCAAGGCTGTTTCCAAGAACAGTTTGCTCGGGAGTTGCTTCCCTACATGGTGTGAACACAGTCCTGTGCTCCCAGTGTTGGTCTGACATTCCCAGTGCTCCGGTCCGATTCCAGGAATGTGGATAATGAGGTGCCAAGGGAGCTGCTGGAAGCATTTCCTTCTGAGTGGTAAATAGAACCCAAAATACACCATTGCCCAGAGAAAAGGTGGATGCCCCATCCCTGGAAGTTGAGGGAACCTATGGAATCAATGATCTTAAAGGTCTTTCCCAACCTAAATTATTCTGGGACTATTTGCCTCCTTTTGATTAAAAAAGTAGCTTCAGCTGAATCTATGTAACGGTAACAAGACAGACCTGGCCAAATAAATGCAGAAAAATAGGACTTTTCATCCTCTCAGTAACACCTTTTTTTTTCCTTAGGAAGGGCACTTTTATTGCTGGAAACACACAGGTCCAAACCACAACAGCAGACAGGAAGCACTGAAAAGGAATTATGTGATGTTTGGCCCTAAGTATAAAATGAAGGTTCATTATACCAATTCCAGCATTCCCAAATGAGGAATAAACTTATGGGAGAAGATAATAGCATTGGAAAAGGGGATGGATTTTACCGTGGTTGCACCATTACACTCCCAAATTGGGGGAGTATTTTTTTATGGATAATTATGCAATCCAGGGGAGGGTAGTGGGAGACATCCACTATAGACCAAGTCCATAAAAACCAGGGAAATAGCCCGTGAGCTCTGAACAAATTCCAGATCTTACCACAAGAAGAGATTACAACTTAAACTCAGCAACAAAGCAGGTAATGGGAAAATCAGCTTGTTGAGAAAACAGATTCCAGCTACAGCATATCAGGGAATTACCCCATTAATATCCCAGGTTTATGATGGGCCAGTATCCTCCTGAACAGCCAGAAGTGACAATGCAGCCGAATATTTGAGTCTCATAAGAAAAGGCCTTACAGGACTCGATTCTCCAGGTCAATAAAAACACACCTCTGCTCTCTGCAGGACAATATTAAATGGATTCATCAAACAGATCCTTGGTTTCCTCCCAAACCTGCCTGTATGATTGAAAGAGTTGAATACAAAAGTGAGTGTTTTGAAGGTTATTTCCATGTGGGTACTTGCACTGAAAGGAAAATGGAGCCTCAGCTCTCAAGGGAGAGCTTAGAGCAAAACAGCTGAGCTGCAAATTGCTCCAAGTGGGAAAATACATGTTAGGGAGGCAAAGGGGAGCAGAAAACTCCAAGGAAATCTCTGATCAGCACAGCAAGAGGTGCAAAAAATTGTATTTCGTTTTCTACAGCTGTGTGAGATCTGTGAAAAGGCCTGAACATATAGAAAAGCAAACACTGGGTTCAATGCATTCATTATTTATGGCAGAAGAAATCACAGCAAATGCAGCTCCAGCTCATCAAGAAGTGACTGTTTTGCCAAACAAAGCAGCATCAAGTACACCCAGAGTTTTCCAAGAAGTTCCTCTCCAACTGCTCCTTAAATCCTGTCAGCAATGAAGATCTTAAAACATCCCTGTCACCTCCTCTAGGCAGGGACAGCAGCTCCAGAGGCACAACGAGCGAGGCAAAGCACATCCCTAACTTTGGGAAATTGAGTTTTAACCCCAAGTGCCAATAAAGCTGATTATTTGAATCCACAGCCATCCCAATGCTGGATCAGAAAAGCTGTGGGGCTGCCAGGAGGTGACAGGATGAGGAGCAGCCCTGCACCTTCTCCAGTCTCCCTTCCTTGGCTCCCCCTGGGTTCTGACAGGGAAAGGAGGAGCAGCTCCTGCTGGTGAGGAGAAGTGACTTTTGCTGGCTGTGTTCCACACTCCTCAGCTATGGAACACTGTAGGGGCTGACAGTCCCCATTCCTGGGGAGGGACCGTGGGGAATTGCTCGGTGTCTGCAGCTATTCCGGCCGGCTCCGAACGCGACACGTTTTCCCAGAGAGCTCAACATGCCCAACACCAGCTGCCAAACTCTGGGAAAACAGCTGTGCTAAAACATCCCTGGTGAGTCTCTGTCCTGGTACAAAAGCAAGGATGTGCCCAACCCAAAGGAGGTGGGAAAAGCTGGGTTCCATCCCTGGGGATGTGCAGTCACCAAGGGAGAAGATCATCCACTGTTAGCAGGGCTTTGGTTCGTCCCTGTGATCCATCCCATGGGATTACTCCTGCACAAAACCAGCAAGGGCTTCCAAGCAATCCTGGTTGTGCCCCAAGGGCTGGATTTCAGCCTAAAAGCCACTCGGTGGCAGAGCTGCCAACACTGTGACAGGACATTTGTCTTCAGACACACAGGAAAACTCCACAGGGTTCTTGGCTCTTCTTCCCTCAGCCCAACACAAAAGCAACTATTCACTTCCTAAATCCATTCCAAGATGTGTCTCCCAAACTTTGGAAGGCTGTTCATTGAGAGTGTTCATCCAGCTCCATGCAGATGATCCTCCTGGGTTAACTCTGAAACAAAACCTTTCTCTTTTATTCCATGCTGGCACCCCCACAAATGCAGTTGTTGCTGCTGTTCCCTGCCTTGGGCCAGCTGGGAATGCAAAGCTCAAAACTCAAAACATGGCAGTAGAAGGAAATTAAGCCTGTCTGAGTTCCCTAAAACTCCAAACTGAGTTTTGGCACCCAGCTGGAGTGAAGGTTGAAAAGTGCTCGTGTCTTTGCTCCCCACATTTGGGAGGCCCCAACAGCTCTGTCTCTCCACTCTGAAAGAACTGAGGCTGAACCTTCTGCAGCACCAGCTGTTGCCTAATTGAAGAAATCCACCAAAAAAAGGTGCTTGGAAAAACTCAAGCTGTACAGCTGTCACCCAGTTGTGGCAGGAAGGGACCCCTGGCTCCATCAGGACCATGGCCTTGGAAAAAAAAAATAACCAAGAAATGTGTTTACAGCCTAATTGATAAACTTTACCAAAACTCACTGTGCAATCTTTCATGTTGTTTTCTTTTTGCCTTCTTGTGCTGGGACATGTTGCGCCAGAGGATCACAGAATCCTGGAATGGTTTGGATCTGGAGGAACCTTAAAGCTCATCCAGTTCCACTCCCTGCCATGGGCAGGGACACTTTCCACTAGCCCAGGTTGCTCCAAGCCCCGTCCAACCTGGCCTTGGACACTTCCAGGGATGTGGGATCTTGTAGAAGACAAGTTTCAAAAGAAAAAACAACAGCAACAACAATTATTGCTCCCACACCAAATTTCTATCTTAGGGGGCAGATCCTGTCCCAGCCATGTTAATCCAGCCAAAGAGAGAGAAAAAAAAAAGCTGATTCTGGAATAAAGCCTGATCCAAGGCAGGAATGCAGAGAGCAGAGGCACAGCAAGACCTGCCTCTCTGTTTTGCAGCAATCCCTGAGTGCTGAGATCAGCCACGGACTGCCCTGGAGCAGCTTGGGGGGAGAAAATGCAAACATTTATTCTTTGAAGGATCAAGTGCTGGGTTTTTTCCAACGCGGTACCACCACAGCAGACGTGGAAGAAAGTAAGTTGAGAAAAAGTGTATTTATTTCTTAAGAAACTCAATCCTTACCCTGTCACACATGGAATTGGAAGTCAAGGCTGGGCTTCCTGTAGCCATTTCACATGTGCTTTGCTAAAATTCATGGAATCATTGAGGTTGGAAAAGCCCTCTAAGGTCACAGAGTCCACGCTGTGATCAACCCCCACCTTGTCCCCCAGCCCAGAGCACTGAGTGCCACGGCCAGGCCTTCCTGGGACACCTCCAGGGATGGGCACTCCAAACCTCCCTGGGCAGCCCCTGCCAAGGCCTCACCACCCTTTCAGGGAAGAAATTTTCCCTAATATCCAACCTGAGCCTCCCCTGGCACAGCTGGAGGCCGTTCCCTCTCCTCCTGTCCCTTGTTCCCTGGGAGCAGAGCCCGACCGAGC